TCGATTTTATAGCAAATTTATTTCCGCAAAAATTTTTCGAATTTCCTATTCAGGTTAAATTTTTTCTTGCCAAAATCTGTTTTATCAAAAAATTTTCAGGGCTAACAAATAATGAATATTGTAAGCAAAATCTTTATTATTTTACTGCGCAGCTGAAGCATAATATCTAATCAACGATAAAATTTGACGGAACGTTTCACTTTTTAATTATTTTTTTGTCACTTATCAATATAACTAAAATCAATACTTAAAAAGTATCATGGAAGTTAAATTTATCAACGGTCTCATGGAAATAAAGAGTACCTTTATAAGGTGAGGTGAAATGGCAAAAGTCGAAACCCTAAGTTTTCTATTTTGAGTTATCAACGATTTTATAGCTTAATAAAGAATTTTAGTTTTTTTATTTTATTAATTTTACTTATCGAATAGGGCGCTTGGAGATGTTAAAAATGAGCTATTATTAACGATAATTACAAAACGATAATTTTAAAAGCCTAGAATTATCTTTATTTTACCAAAAATTAAATAAATATAATAATCTATAGGTTTTTCTTGAGGAAATGGATAGATATTTTTTTTTTGTCTTTTTTTAATAGTTTGCCGGCGTTGAGGAAACTCTTGATTAATTGCCTTTATTAAATAAATTTTATGTCATACTTACCTCATAACTTACCCTTCTGCTTACCATTCCTTTTGTTTATAAATATAAACATAAAGAACTGGACCAAATACAGTAATTTGAATATATTCATAATATAACATCTCGTTAGGATGTCGGGTCCCAAACCGTTCTAATTATATTTATAAATGCTGGGATTTGAAATGTTTTAACGGATAACACGCACAATTTACATTCTCATGGTTCGTCTTCCTTTAAATATACCTTAATTCCTTGCATTCATCCTTTCTACTTCATTATTTTTGTATAACAAGTAACTTCGTTATTCTAATATTTCGTGTATATTATTATTTTTTATTTTGTTATTTTCGTAATTAGCAATTAACATTTATTGAGTTTAATAATATTGGGATTGCGAAAGTCGACGATGAGGCAACACTTGATTAATTTTATTAAATAATTTTAGGTCTTAATTACTTCAATATCTTTAATTAAACTTCTAAATACAAATTGTTTATAAATAAGTGAAAAGAACTGAATACAACAGAATTGCTGTTTTGCAAATTTCTTAAATTTCTTCTACAAATATTAAAATTATATCCTATCAAGTATCCTTTATGTATGAGCTAACCTCGGTAGACAATACAGTATGTAAGTGTCAATATCAGCGTGACCGTGTTCTTCTTTCTAGTGAGTTCCTTTAATAAATTAACTTTTTTGACGATCTTTTCTTACAAAATATATTCTTTTAGTCTATCTATTAAGTTGAAGAGTTATTTCATTTGGGATAGTTCATTTAATTTATTTAATTTTATATCTATTTTTTTTAAGTTGTCTAACAAATTCATTTTTTACCTTTAAGTTCACGCCCGCGATGTCCTTCCTGCTTTGAATTCAATATCCTTTTGGTCTTAACTTTCCGATAAGCTTAATTCATTTAGTTTTGATTTATGTCTAATAAAAATTTTTCTCAGATGGAAATTTATTTTTCCAGCTTTGAGGAAAATGTTGCTCCCGCAGCCTGTGAGTTATTATTATAATTTAACAGATATCACAAAATCTTTAAAGAAGTATTCCTGGTTCAATTCAATTCAATAAATCTCTTGCAGGTCCTATCAAAATAGCGTGGAATAATGTGAATTTTAATTCCTGGTAAATATTTTCTTTGGTATAATCTACGATAGGTTCTAAATTCGTACATTTGGAAAAGTTGTTCTATTTTGAAACATTACGACACATGGAAATGGAAATATGAGAAACTTTTGTCAAAATTTCTTAAAAAAAAAAAGTAGTTAAAAATTAAAGTCGAACTCCAGAAGAAGTTACAGTTTTTGAATTTGTTCGTAACTATATTCGCCAAGCTTGTGAAAAATCTTTTAAAAGCTTATGAATGGAATGTATATTAAATTCGGGTGGATTCTAATATTTAAATTAATTATCCTGTTTAAAGTAAATAATGATTAATAGTCAAAATGTTTATTCATTTTTATGAAAAAAAGGATAACGTTGCCACTATGACATAACTTGTGAACGAAGGTAAAGTGAAAAACATTTGACTCTCGTAATGCTGTGCAAGTTTAAACTTAAAGTTCATCCAATAACCCATTGCAATGTTGGCAAAATGACTCTGAAATGACCTTGAGAGACCTCAAATGACCTTATATTTACCATCATTGGTCCATGGACACTTGACACGAAAAACATATCATGTAAGTATGTCATGATACTGGACGAGTTCATGTTTCATGGGTGGTAATTTTTAAAATATTATAAATTATTAAAAGATTAGAAATTCGACGATAAGATCAGATGTTGTTACAGGTATCAAGATGAAGCTGAACGTTTGTCAAATATTTGTATTTTACCGTTTCATTTTTTTTTTTTTAGTACTTCCGTAAAATATCTATTAAATACTATTTATAAGTCAGATAATCATTTTATTTCTACAAAAGGTATAGATATTAATTTGAATAGCCAAAATATATTGCATATTAAATTTATTTTTTTTTTTTGCTACTGAATATAAATAAATCGTCGAGTGAGTTATGAAAAATAAATAAAGGAAAGATAACACAAATTCCTAAGGTACAGTAAGTGCATTTTCATTATTTAAATGACATAATTTCAACAATCAGCTAAATGCTACGCTTCTACCTATTTACCAATCGAATAATGTGAGATGGTAGAAAATCTGGGATCTTTGCAATAGAAAGGGGAAACTACCGGGAATATAATAGATGAGTTAATGCTAAATCTGAGCACATTTTGGCCTGAACCTGAAAATAAAATATAAATAAAATAAAATAAAGAACTTACCTGATACTGCGCCAACGATCCAATCCGAAGAATTTAAATGTAAAGGTCGCAAGATTTTGGATAATCGGTAGCTAAGCTAAAATTAATAAGAGAAAAGAATTATTTATAACTCAAAGATTGTTTAATGTATGCTACCTCTGAATTAATCGGTTAACGACTATTCTTTGTATAACAAGGTGCAGCGACTCGAAATAATTACTAGCTCCTTCATATTTGCCTATATCCTGAATATTACCAGAATTGTAAACATCATTTTTGTAGGCGGATTACATCGAACAAGTACAGTGGAGACATTAAAACATTTATAGAAATCTGATTGGTAATAAAATTTATGAAATAATTTATGCAATATTATTGTTTTGGCTGGTAACATGCATCTTAAATATATTTTTTTTAATAAATATGTAACATATAGTATATCACTATTATTATCAAGAGAATATCTATAAGATGACTTTACTTATTTCACTAAAGCGATTTAATTAATAAAAATAAAGTTTATTTGAAAAAAATTATAATAATAATATATATATTTATATAAATAAATGACTATGTAAGATAATAATAATAATCACCTGGGAGAAATTTGAAATCTTAAATAATAAAAAGAAGATAAATTAATATGAAAGGATTCATTATTTTCTCTTAGCGTAAAATATTCCTGATTGGCAACAAAAAAGGTTACTTTCTTTGTCGAAATAATTAAAAAACTTTACCAAGATAGCTACTCTATATAGCGCTCATTATTTATAAAATAAACCAACTTATATAGAAAATATTCATAATTAAACAATTCATTGAAATAAGAGATTTTGGTTTTTCACAAACTAATCAGTTTCCATTTTACCTTAATAAAAATAAAAATAAATATGATTATTTATTTTTTTGTAATGATATATTAATGAACAAATAAAAATAAATATACCTGAATCAACTTTCAATTTAGTAAAATCAATATTTAGTGATTCTAATATATTAATAAAAATAAAACATATAAGGATTAATTATGTATTGTAAAAATATATATGACATAAAAAAATTATAAGCACGAAGAAAAAGTTATAATTACCAGAATATTTCACATTTGATATGTTATAGCATTGTTTATAATAATCATCTGAATTTTTTGGTTCAGGAAGGTTATTAAAATTAAGTAATCTACTTGTATATTTTGTTTCAGAATGTGTATAGTTATATTTTGAAAGTATTAAACTTTTATTAACATTTTCTGCTTCCATAATTTGCTTTTTTAATTCTGTTTGGTAATTTTCATTAATCTCTCGTTTCCATTTGCCTAAAATTTCCTTAATTTCATTTGCTATAGGTCGATTTGATGGAATTGCATCTAAGCATCTTTTAATCAAATGTAAAATTAACTGAGGTATTTTAATATAAAATTCGGGTCTTCCTCCATGACAAATATGTAATGCTAAATATTTATTATGAGTCTTATCATGAAATGGAGGTAATTCTGAGATCATTTCATACATAATTATACCAAAACTATAAATGTCAGAAGCTTTAGTATAAGGCTTTCCTAGTAAAACTTCAGGAGCAGAATAAGGTAAAACACCATATATTTGATTTTTGTTATCATTTTTTTTTAAAATTGACTGGTTTACATAATCCCATATCAGTTATAAAAGAATAAAAACAAGATTTTACTATATTTCCAGAATGTAAATCTCGATGGATTAGTTCTTTTTCATGAATTTTTTCAAGTCCAAGACACAATACTATGTAAATTATCAATCTTTACATACCAATCCAATTTTAAATTTCTATTCAAATAGGATGAATTCAAATCGAAAGTATAACTTTCTACAATTATTATTAATCATCATACAATCTGAGAAATTTCAAAATTCTTAAAGCGATTCTGGTTTATGAATTACAATAAATAATAACAGCTTTGCGTAAAAGAAAAAATTTTTTAAAATAAAAAATAAATTTAATTTAGCAATAATCAACTAGGAACCGTTAATGATTTCAAAATCAAAAAATTGAATTTATTTATTAATATGATTAAGCACTTTAGATATTTAAATTCCATACACCCATATTTTCAAGTTGATCTTTTTATCACCTGGAATACCTCGTAATCTTCTATTTTAAATTTACTTTTATTTAGTATAATCGGTTTTTCATAACTTTTCTCGTAACATTCACCTTTTTTTAAATTGGGCATAATGTTTAAATCAGCTCTCCCATCTCCAAATACCATCCCATACTCGCTTCCACTATAAATTGCATGATTATTATCAACAACTTTACTGAAGATAAAACTATTTAACATTTTATCCATAGAAAAAATAAAACTATTTTTAGTATTAATATATTCTGGCGTAAAATTTGAAAACCAATTTGAAGGATTAAAACCTCCAAGAATTTCGTTCGTATGTTTAACTCTGACAACGGTAAGTGTAGGCCCTATCATATCACAACACTCATGAAAAGTCTCAAGTTCAAACCCATCTCTGCTTCCACGAACAAGGAGTTTAAAATCAAAAAAAAGTATTATTGTTATGTTGTTTCGCGATCTTGATTAAATTGCCAAGTAAAGAAGCTTGATCAGATGTAATAATCTTAGAATCAATATTTGTTGAGCAATTAATATAATTAATGCAATGATATTCAAGCATTTGAACGTATTGATCATTATCAAAAATGTTCTTGAACGGTCGTACTTTCCGAACAAAATCTATGGTGCTAATATTTTCAAACTTAATATATGGTATAAATGGTTGAATAATTGTTCCAAATGTTGATACATCATTTTTTGTCCATTTTGTAATGTCTGATGGTAATTCATCAGATTGTGCAATACTCCATTTCATTAAATTATCCCAAATGTCAATCGTTTTCACAGAATGCTTGTCTTTCACAAGAATATCAAGGAGGATTTCTTGTTTGATTTCGGTGAAATCGTCAGCTTTGAAGATTATAGAGGGATCCCGTTTAATAGCAATCTTACAGAATCGAACCAATTTATTAAATTGAGTAAATTGGGATGCGACATTTTGGATGAGAACAAAACACCTTTCTAATAATTTTTTGTTGTCAAGAAGATAATTTTCGATAGAAGTACACAGGTCTTTATCACATAACTCATCAGCAGCAATTAGAATCGCTACGTTTGTTTTAATATCGTTTTCAGAGTGGTCAATTTTTTGGTCATACAAATATCTAATCAATGAATATAACCGTTATTTTGCATGAATTTGTTAATTTACAAGCCAAAATATACTTACTTTATAATAATATCAAACACTTCAACAGTAATATTCGGTTTTTGCAATTTAATAATACCATTTTCTATTCTCTTCCACTCGTCTGATAAAGCAATACGAAAATAAGGCGAACGTATTTTTAAAATTAAAGAATTTGCCTTGAAAACTTTTGTGTCGGGCTCTTTTCCAACTAAAATTTCCGTATCTGAAAATTCGACAGCTTTGAGAATATCCATTATAAAATTATGTTAGGATAAAGCGAGAAAAAAAAGAATGTGCTGTATTTCTGTATTTTCAGTTTTTAAATTATAGAAATATTCACAAGCTAATGAAAGTCATTCTTATGTCATAGTGACCAGGTTAACCGGTTAATTAACTTGTTGAAATTTAGCTTACCAGTCTAATTTAATCATTTTAATTCTGGCCAAGGTCAATAAAGACAGAAATATCCAGCCAAAAGGCAATATTAATACACGTTCGGAATGTAAATTCGCATATGACAGCAATGAAAACATTCTCAAATTTTTTAGATAATATTATTTATTAATACAATAAAAAAAGGAGAAAAAATAACGCAAATGTATACAAATTTTAGAAAGAGACGAAGGAAAAAAAAAAATCGAAATGAAGGGGTGATTATTTGAGGGGGAAATTTTTTTTATTTTAAGAACAATTTTTACTCGACAGATAGTTGTTGCTAATTTCATAAAGCAAAAATATATTACGATTCTTGAATAGATTTATCATACATTGGTAGATAAATTATTTCATCTTATCTCAAATAATTAAAGGTTATGAATTAATAAACACATCATCATGCGTCGAACAATAAAGCCCAATGTGGGCGAAATTTTATTAAAATTTTTGTAAAGCATTAAATTGAAGCACCAGAATAAAATCAAAGGTTAGATTAGATTACCTTTAGAGGGTAGAAATATGCATGAAATATCATATCATTGCACCAGGATTTTACATTGTAAAGTGACCATAAATATCTAGGTTATCATTAATTTGCTATCTATCCATTCCCATAAACCAATCTCGCTTAATGTTCTGATACAATCATCATTCTTGATATTTATCTCATTAAATCGTTATGCAGGATTCATCTTAATTTTCTCCTAAAGTTCACAAATTTTATTGCTACGTGAGGCACATTTCCTGATTTGATCGAAATGTTGCTTGAATTTGGTCCGGATCGTTAAATTAATATCTCTGAATGCTATTTTGAACCCGAAGCCTCCGTCAATAAAATATTAGTAAAATCAATCATAGAACTCCGAAATCTAGACGACGACTCGTTGGGGTGTTCCATATCATATGTCGATCATAATTATAAAATGTCGTATATAAAAGATTTGTTTAAAACGGATAATTTAATTGGTAACAAATAATGTCGATCATACGTTAAAACTGCAAAAAAAAAAATTTAACGAATTTAACGCACATTTATTTAAAAATATAAATTTTATTATAAAACAAAGTACAGTCGTCCCCCTTTATAGTCACACCCTCGGGACTAAAAATAATGTGTTTTTTGCTTGAATTTTACGTGCATTAGATAGTTGACGAGCTCTACTATTTATTCTAATAATATTTATATATACCATTAATTTACATTTTTAATTTTTAATTTTTAAAAAACTAATGAAGCAAAATTAGAGAATAATACCTTAAATGAATCCGCATTTCTTACAGAAAAATATGACACCTTTACTTTTTGATTTCGAAATAAAATAAAAATATTTACATATTGAAAGTCAAAAAAAAATTAAAAAAACGCCATCAATGATTTTTTTAAAAAAATAAATTAAAAAGAAAGGTGTCATTTGAAAGAATAAGTGTTCATAAACAATTTGATATATATTTTCATAATGGTTTGTCTGTCATTGTGAAAAATAAGACATCGTTAACGCGGATTGATGATCGACATATGGGAGGCGGTCAATAGAAAGGGGGAAATTCACTTTTTAGTCAAAAATTTTTTTATTGGTTCACTCTGCCAATCATGGTCATGTGAACAAAACTAGATTAATAACTAAAATTACTCAAAATTTGTTTTTCTTTTGACCGCCTCCCATATATTACAGAGTGAAAAATCCGCAGTAATTAATTTCCATATATGGGTTGATTGCTAGGAAAATCTGATTCCGGGAATTTTTTATCAAAATTGAGATTATTATTGCATTTTAGTTTTTGATGTTATTAGATTAAAATGTAATAAGCTCTTAATTTTAGTCAAAAATTTCTCGGAACCTGATTTTCCTAGAAACACTCCCATATGACATTTCACACATATAATATGGAACACCCCATGCTTTGTTGGGGAAATCAAACCAAACATAATTTTTTCAATAATTATAGGATTTCAAAGATTTTAAACTATAATTAATTTTCATAAGTGTTTTTAAAAATTTTAAAAATAAAATCATATATAATTAATTTTACGGATTTCAAATGATATATAATCATATATTTTTAAAAAATTTATAAATTTAAACATTTATATTTAATAAAATTTGCTAATTTCCCTAGGAGAAAATAATCTGGTTGTTGTGATTTCACTCAAAGAAATAAGGATTGTAGCCATGCGATATCATCTTTGCAAAGTTTGTTTAATTTGGTGTCTAATAAATTTAGCAATATAGGTAAAAAAAAAAAAAAAAGGGTTCTAACGTTTTTTTTTTTTGTAAGATACTGCACTAGATCATAAATTTGGTGCAAATTGGTCCCGGATTTCCGGAAGAAATAAAGTCCGGGTTTAATACCGAATGTTTGAATTTAGGTCTCGGGATTTAATTATGACCCGATCGTAAAATTAATTAGCCGCTTATTACGAAGAATTCTCAACATCATGATGTGCACTACATGCTTAGAATTAATAATTATGATAATCTTAAAAACAGTGACTAAACAAATAAACAAAAAAAGAAAGACTCGAATAAATTAAAGTTGGAAAAATCGGGAAATCTCGTGGAATATTAAAAGTTACATTAAAAATTTTTCCTTTTATGATAAAGGGGTTCGGAATATCCTAAAATAGTTAGACTTTTGATGATCAGGTTGGGTGGGTATAACGATTTGCCCATATACGATATTTTAGCTAAGCAAATCTTAAATTTTGCTGCGGCGCTCAAAAAGAATTCGGTTAAATATTTGGCATAATACGAATTATTTCTACCAAGCCCTATTATTAAAATGTAATCAATTAAGTTTTTCTTTTTTTATAAAAAGGTATAAATACAGTATCTTTCAATGTTCGTTTTTTTTTTTTTTGTTTCTTCAGAATTTGTCGAAAATTATTAAACAAAACCAAAAAAAAAAAAAAAATAATGCCGCTTCCAACTCGTGAATTAGGTAAAACTGGAGTAAAAATTCCAACAATTGGTTTAGGATGCATGGTATGTAATTACTGTACGGTATATAATATAATATTCATTATTTTTTTTTTTTGATATTGAATAATTGCAAATCCTTTTTTTTTATTAAAAAAAAAAAAATACAGGGAATGAGCGAATTTTACGGACAAACTGATGAAAAAGAAAATATCAATGTTTTGAACAAATCAATTGATTTAGGAAGTTACTTTTGGGATACTGCGGTAAAGTATATTAGATCTCCTTATTTCGAACTACCGATAATAATAATAATAATAATTTCCTTTTTATGCGTTTGAATTGTGATTTTTTTAGGATATGTATGGAACAGGTGCCAATGAGATACTTTTATCAAAAGTTCTTAAAGAACGTCGTAATGAAGTATTTCTTTGTACAAAATTCGGAGTCGTTCGAGGTCCAGATAGTGAATTTATGGGTGTCAAAGGTGATCGCGAATATGTTCGTCAAACTTGTGAAAAATCGTTGAAAAGGCTTGGGGTAGATTATATTGACCTTTATTATCAACATCGTGTGGATTCTCAAACGTTAGCATAAAAAATTATTTCAATTTAAGCGTAAGAAAGATGTAACAAATTAAAAACATCTTTATTTTTTTTATTAAAAAAAGCCCCATTGAAGAAACCGTTGCCGCTATGGCCGAACTTGTGAAAGAAGGCAAAGTGAAATATCTCGGACTCTCGGAATGTTCCGAGGACATACTTCGACGCGCTTGTAAAGTTCATCCAATAGCAGCCTTACAGGTATGATATTGTAAATTTAAAAATTTAAGAAGGAGCGTTAATATTAAGTATTAATTACCAAAACCACCATTAATAAGATGGAGTATAGTCCTTGGTCGCTTGATATTGAAAAAAATGGAATTGTGGAAGCATGTCGTGAATTAGGTGTTACCATAGTCGCATATAGCCCAATTGGTCGCGGATTCTTAACCGGACAATATAAATCAATTGATGATTTTGAACAAAATGATTGTAGAAGAAGGATGCCACGTTTCTTGGGTGATAATTTTAACAAGAATTTAGAAATCGTTGAGAAATTTCAAAAATTAGCAAGCAAGAAAGGTGTTAGCGCAAGTCAACTTTGTCTGGCTTGGGTTTTAGCTCAAGTATTTACACTTTTTATCTAATAACTATATTTTGAATGTAAATTTCCTAGTTTGAATTTAAAGAAATTAATTTTACTATTCAATTTTCTTTAGGGAGAGGATATTGTTGTTATTCCTGGTACGAAGAAAATCAAATATTTAGAAGAAAACGTTGGCGCAGCTAATGTTCAACTTTCGCCCGAAGAATTATCTGAAATTCGTAAGATTATTGATTCTATTGAGATTGTTGGAAATAGATATCCAGATGAAGTTGTCAATGTAAGTAGTTTACATATTTATATAACAATATATGTATAATTATATGATAATAACTTTGAAATTTATTTTAGTCTTGAAATTATTTATATTGTATTAAATTATGAAAAAAAATTGTTCTTGAATTAATTTTTTAAAAATAAAAATAATAATACGATTTAATGAAAAGTTTTTACTTTGAAATCCTGAAAATGTCAAAATTTTGCTATTTAATTAAAATTTCTTTGTGGAACAAATTTACCGGTATATTAAAAGCAATAAATTAAAACAAATGTAATAAATGTTTACAAGGGATAACTGTAAAAGAAAGCTTCACAATTCAATTCATCAACCCTAGAGAAAATATTTATATAAATGAATTAATAATAAAAATAAAACAAATATGTCCTATATAATATAATCAATAAATATAATATAATAAATGTATAAACTCTAATCTAATAGAATATAACGAACTACTATGACAAAACATAAATAATAGGTTAAATCATTTAACATATGTCACGTCCCACTTCATTTAACATTACTTCTTTTGATACACTATACGACGCTATGCTATGAAATGTTGAAACATAGCATGTGGTCTTGATTCCAACAATTCTTTGATATATTAAGAGCGCATTTTTACTCGGTTATTCAATTTTACTTGGCTATTATTATTGATTCAAGAGAATTTTAAAAAGAATAGGTAACTTTTGTTATCGGATTTGTTGTAGATTTTCATTTTATAATTGAACCCAATTATTGGTAGCAAATTAAAGGTTATTCATTTATTTTTTTTAAAGAAATCTGTAATACAATAAAATATGTGGAACAAATATTTATGCAAAACCTCCATACATTCATAAGAATATTAATTTTAAAACGATCGATAACCATGAAAAAACTAAATTTTTTTTTGAACTTTTGAAATAGAACAGTTTCCTTTATTAAAAAAAAAATCGTGAGGAATGCATGTCGCATTGGGGTGTTCCATCAACTATGTAAATCAAAACTTTGTTAAGTATCATATAAAAATTTACTATTAATTTCTGCCAGGGACGATGATTTTCTGCGGTGACAAAATGCTGATTCCGTCCGTGCTAAAAATAAATTCTGCAAACTGCTGTGCATTAACATTTGTTCATATTCTGCAACATTTTTTTAAAATTTTTATAGATTCTGTATAATTCTGCGAAATTTATTATAATTTTTATTAT